ACATTGGAAATACAGAGCCAAACAGAGGTCGCATTAGGCTCATCAAAAAGCATTTCCCATGACACAGAGGCAGGAAGATGTCCTCGTTCCGGTATGACAAAAATGTGTAGATGCCTGCAGGCATTTAAATGCAGGTGAGAATGACAACGCAAACTTAATGGGAAGGACTTTTGAATTCAAGACAATGAACTGAAAAGGCAACATTCATCCATTTAATAGGGCATTGGTGTCAAACTCAAGGCCCCGGGGCCAGATCTGGCCCGCCACATTATTTTATGTGGCCCACGAAAGCAACTCATGTGTGTCAACTTGCATGAGCCTTGCTAATATGTGCACTGACGTGTTAAATTGTCATGTGTAATCAATAAGAAATGAGATTTTGCAATAATTTTGCGATGCTGTTGACACTCACTTGAACTATAATTGAACAAACTATTATAGTTGACTGATCTAAAAAGTAGTTATCCAATAATTTGTTGTGTACAAATAATAATGCGATGAGACGATTAAAAATGTTTACGGTTTCAACGGCCCTCCGAGGGAAGACGTAACACCGAAGTGGTCCAGGACAGAAATGAGGTTTACACCCCTGCAATAGGGGATGCGGCATTACAAGGCAAACCGTAAATGTTTAATAAAATGAAAGGATTCTAAGTGCTCCTTATGATCCATAAAATACGGTAAGTTATATTCTGTACATGAATAGTTAATTATTCAACATCACAAAGGACACTATTTACCAATACCGATATTACAGCAGGTCATAGTGGAGCATGTCATAATGGAGTACAGTAATGTCTGTGTACACTCAACACTATAAATTCAGCGTTAGTGTGATCGTGAGTGAAAATGATTTTAATAAAAAATTATTTTTGTGTCATCCTTGTGACTGAATGGTGATCAGTCCTGTAAGTGAGCAGAGACAGTCTCCCGCTATACGAAAAGTACTTTCCGTGGTTGAAATAGGAGCCTTCAATGGGCCCTGTGCATGTGTGATGCAGAGCTGTGCTTAGCACAGTATGTCTTTGTCTTGCGTAATTCTTGTATGGATATTCTCAAATGACCATAATGCACATGAATCGCTCGTGGGATTCCCACAGGTAGTTTCGAATCGATTGTTTCAAGATTCATGATTTAACAAACACACTGAATTAGACAAATACTATTCAAGGGTCTAAGACGCAATCAAAACAATTCATACTGATCTTTAAAAACAGGCAAGGCCACACCCAGAGGCTGATGTTACTGCAGCACATATTTAATCGTTTTAAAAATGTTCATTTATTAAATGATTGGTTAATGGATTGGAGTTTTTGTTAAGTCCATTCATTTTCTATACCGCTTATGCTTACTAGGGTCACGGGTGTGCTGGAGGTTATCCCAGCTGACTTTGGGCAAGTGGGTGGGTACTCCCCGAACTGGTCGCCGGCCAATTGCACGGCACAAATTCAAAAACCAATCACACTCCTGGACAATGTTATCCTTTCTTTTATCCAACCTTGCATATATTCAAAATTTGGGAGAAAACCCAGGCAGGGGAAGAATACTTAAAATCCACGCAGGATGGCCAGAGCCCAGATTTGAACTCTTAGTCAGAGTTGCTAACCAGCCAGCCCACCATGCTGCTTTTTTTGACTGAATAAAAATACAGTACAATCACTAAATAATACCCACCATAGAATACATATTCCTTTTTTTTCAAATGCATTTGAATCAATAATTATATGAATTATTGACCAAATAAAAATAGAAGGAATTATTTCATTATTATGATGATCTCTATTATATATTTCTACCCCTATGAATGACCTGGCTCATCTGTCCATTTTAACATTCTAATGTGGCTCTTGAGCTCAAAACGTTTACCCACCCCTGAGATAAACGAGCAATGAAAATGGCTCAAGCTTGTCCCTTGAGACCATTAATGTGTGACTCACTTGGGCGTGGCAGTCTGCAGTGTGAAATGAGGCTGCAGCGAGGCAGCGGAAAATGTCCAGAATGTGATGGATTGTAATGGAGGATCAAGGGCAAAAATTAAATAAACCAGAGTTTATTTCATGGAGCAATGCTTAAAAAGCTTTAAAAAATGTTCTCTTTTACGTGTGCAGTTGAATATTAAGCAGTGTTGTGGTGTTATTTGCTGAAGGATGATCAAATGAAAGCACCGGAGAACGGTTAATTTATGTAACATGTTCAACTGCTTTTTTATATATATATATATATGAACGGTATCGATAAAGTATGACAATTTTGATTTTTACTTGACTTGCTCTGCTAACCTCCAAAACCATGAAATAACTCTGGGATGAACTAAAGCAGAAATTATGAGTCAAGCCCTATTTAACTTCTTAAATACCCTGCTGGGTAAATGGGCTAAAACTTCCTTATGTGTCAAAATCGTAGAGTAGATCTACCCAGACCTCCGTCGTGTGGTGTCGTAAATGCATCCAGTTGTATTCATTTGGGAAACACTAACATGACATTTCCAGCATGTTTTCTCGTGTTAAAATAGGAATTAGCAGAAATTAGATATTGCGCATTATAGTATGAGTGGCCATGTAATCCAAATGCTACATCTTCCTGACACATTGAATGCCTCATCATTGCTATGATGATGCAATGAGCCTTCTGCTTTATCGTTCAGATCCTTCTCATATTTTCCAGATGGCTTCAGCAATTGGCTGCACTGCAGTTCCTTTGCAAATAGTCTCCAGACAGTCTTTTTGGGGATTTTGGGATACTGATTGGACTGATACATAAGAGCATGTTGGCTTTCCACAGTGATGTCATCCTTTTGTTGTGATTACATGTTTCCTGCGTGTGTGTATGTGTGTGCAGGCTAAAATCGGCATGAAAACAGAGGGAATGTGGATGATTTCATGAGCGCAGACACAGGAAGGAAGGGGAGGGTCTTTTAGGTCTTATCAGTTGTGTATCTGGGTGAGCTGACAGAGAAACTGTGAATGCGGTGGAGAGAAAATGAGCAGTGGATGGGTTGGGCATCTGCAGTGACTCAGCACTGGCACTGAGCTTCGGTCATGGAGGACAGAGGGAGGGATCCACAACTGTCTCTCCCCTGGGGGTCGTGACGTAATTCGCAGCCCCTTTTTTCATAATCAACTGAACATCTTTTATTTTGGCCACTTGAGACATAAAAGATCATTTTATCCGCTGGATTATTTGAAACGGCAGAAGCAGTGTAGTTTTTTTTAGCTGTAATTTATCAGTTTCTATTTACCTATTAGAGTGTACTGTTTCTATTTACTGGCTGGATTGAGTTTACGCATGCTCTTTGAGATGATTTTCAGATACAGTACTGCAGTGAAAATGTGGAATACAATCAACATTAAAAAAAGGCCCTTACAGTGGCACAAAAACTTCCATAACATAAAGTTACGTAAGACTCCAGCAAATTGTTTGAGACTTCCTCTTATCTCACTGCTGTAAAGTTCAGCCAGAAGTAACTCTGCATTTGTGTTTTAGTTTTTTTTTTGTTTGGCATCTTGCAAAACTATTCAAAAAGAAGGGCCTGCCTGAACATGGGCTGGTAATCAAAGACAAAAATGGCCATCAGCTGCATGTTGAGCTGCACATTGGGTCATTGTTACTATTACTTTGATTACTGCCTCTTCTTTCATCTATTGGCAAATTCTATTAACTTCAACGAAATGTGTTAGCATTTTAGGAGTTAAAACAGCTGCAGGCAGCTACCACCGTGCTCCCGCTGTACTCAACAGTTCAATTGATTGCCAAATTGGTGTATGTGGAATGTATGTGCGTGTGAAGTTCTTTGGGCCTGAACTGTATGATGTATATACGGTATTTTCTGCACGAAAAGGGGCACCTAAAAGCATTCCATGTTCTCAAAAGCCGACAGGGCGCCATGTAATCCGATGCGCTTTATATATGGATCAATATTCTGATTTCTTGGACGTAGTATTTTAAATGTTCTATAATGCGCTTTGTTACAGCTGCCGTGTTTGTGAAAGCGCTATATAAATAAAGCTGTCTTGAATCGTAGTGTATTGTATTCCCTTGACTGTAGCTCCATATAATGGGTGCATAACGCAACCGCAACAACTTGGGTCTGCAGGTACCAGGGTCGCTGCAGCTTTCGGAGCCACTTTGGGACCCAGTTGGAGGTCGCTCAACAACAACAACCGCAACAACTGTTGTTGCTTTTATTCTATGCGCCTTATAATGTGGTGTGCTCAATATATGAAAACTTATTTAAAATAGGCCTTTCATTGAATGTGCGCCTTATACTCCAAAGCACCTTATAGTGCAGAAAATACGGTTTCTTCAACTCATTTATAGTGCATTCCATTTACCATTTTAATCACATATGATTTTTCATCTGTTGGACTATGATGTTTTTGGGGGATGCGAGGGTGAGTGAGCTGGTGAAGGCAGTGTGGTTGTTTTGGGGGGGGGGCAGTCCGGCCCTGGCTATAGTGGTTCTGTGACTTGGAGTTGGATTCTATTTCGGATTCTATATCTTATTGCATTTAAAAATGCCTTGATTCTATGTAAAAAATGCAATAAGGTGGTTGAAAATTTTTTTTTTTTTTTTTTTTTTTTTTTTAGATCATATTGATTTCATGGTAGGATCACTTGACTGCTGCCAGTTTCTGAGCTGCACAACCGGGATGAAACTCTTCCTTTCCATCACATTGTCAAAGTGCTGTATTGGATCAGGATCTTGTCACTGTTGGCAACATTACATTACATTTATAAGCATATTCAAGAAACCATTTTAAATTTGTGCTTTGTGACGTTGCATGTAATTGTCTTTTTTTCACTATCACAACCCTGGAGGAGGTTGTGTGTGAAAATCAGTGTTCTTTAAAATAGACTAGGGTGATTAGATTAGATTGTTATAACTTTGGGAGATTCAGTGTTTTCCATGTGTCCCTAATTCGCTGGATTTGTGTTCAACAAACTGAGATGCAGATTAATGTTGTATTTGATTCCAAAAATGTCTTTTTCCCTTCATCTAGTCTGGTTTGGTGTCCCGTGACAACCCTGAGCAGCTTGTCATTGCGCTGGAACCTGAGGCTGCATCGATCTACTGCCGTAAGCTCCGCCTCCACCAGATGGTGGACTTGAGCATCCAGACCACTCAGAATGATTTCAGTCCCACAGATAATCTTGGAAGTACAATGACTCAAGGTATGTTCCATGAAACAGTCATTTAAGAGCACGACCACATCTTTTTCTATACTGTGACTCATGTTTTCATAAAAAATGTCTTTTTCTGCTGTATGTTGATTCCCTTGTAGCTTCTCCGAGCCATGGTAAACAAACCTTTTTACAGTAGATGCATGTCAATTAAATATAGATTTTCTTTCCACATTCCACATCATATTTTACATTCTGCGTTTAACTATAAGCGAGGGGTTATTTTAAATATCAGTTTAAGAGAAGGACTGAACAATAAAGACAATATGGTTTGTCTATTAGTACCACATTGCTACGCACAATGAATTTGTTCACCCTTAAGCCAAAGTAAATGGGTATGTATTTAAATGGCCTCATTCTTATCACACTGGCTTAAACTGGTGTAGAGCCATAAAAAAAGCATAAGCAGTTTTCATCATGCTTAATGCATGCTTCATTACACATCGGCTTCACATTTTTCACTCATTACAATATTGATCATTAAATGCGAAAACTAACAACATCGGCTTCAAACTTCAAGAGGCAGTAACCATAAAGTGAAACAGCAACAGAAAATTTGCCACTTTCTTTTTGTCCAAAACTGTCATGCTGTTTGGATTCTTCACTGTAAAAATTCATGCCAGTCACCTTGTTTTCAAGCAGAAATCCTATTTTGTTTCTCTCGTTGCGTTACATATTGTTTTTGATACCCCCCTGACGCAGTTGTGCAAATGTAAAAATAAAGTTTGAAGACATCTGTAACGGAGGTACGGTGGCCGGCTACTTAGCACGTCTTCCTCATGGCGCAGAGGTCGTGGGTTCGTGGGCCCATCCAGTCATTGATTTGATGAATACACTTAATGAAAGTAAGGGACTATCGTAAAGGGATGACAGCGAAGTGTGAAGTTGCATGTCATCTGCAAAAGTATGATGAGATGTTGTGGCGCTCCATAATCTGAGCTAGGTGCAGCATATAGAAGTTAAATAGAAGTGCTCCAAGAATGGAGCCTGGCGGAACCCCGCATGTGATCTTTACTCATTCAAACTCATGACTACCAATTGAGACAAAGTAGTTCCTATCTTTCAAGTAAGATTTGAACCAATTTAACACATTGCCATTAAGTGCAACCCACTGTTTTAGTTTGTTGAGCGGTATGTTATGATCAACTATGTCAAATGCAGCAGTGAGATCTAGCAATACCAAGACGGTGGTTTTGAAAGTGTCATTCAGATGTATGTAATTTAAAACTTTAATAAGTGCAGTCTCAGTGCTGTGGTGCGGTCGAAACTGAGATTGAAATGCATTTAAGAGATTCTCTCGCATCATAAAACTGTGAATCTCTTTAAAAACAACCGTTTTGATGATTTTTCCCAAAAATCGAAACATTTGAGATGGCCCTGTATTTACTTATCTTTGAAGGATCCAGGTTAGGCTTTTTTAAAAGTGGTTATGTTACTTCACTTTTTTGATACATGCCATGATTGATGAGAATTATTCAATATGACTTATACCTTTGCAGCTATACAATCAAATCATTTATGAAAAATTGTGAACGATGAACATCGAGACCGCATGTTGTCCTAACTTGAAAACTATTTCTTTCAAAGTTGTGTAGCCTAAAACGTTAAAATGTTCAAGATTAACTGGAAAATCAAATAGAGCAAGTGATAATGGAGAGCCATTTACATTTTGTCTTATCTGGAATATTTTTATCTGGCTGCAAAGTTGTTGCATGACTTATTGCACAGCAGTTTCGAAGGGACTGATTCTGTGGGATTTGTCAGTCTGTCTACAACAGAAAACAATGTACGGGCATTTTTAGTGTTTCCATTGATAACCCCTGAGAAGAATTATTGTCTCTTATTTTTCAGTTCGTGGTTGTGGAGATGGGAAGACTGTCATTGCATGTGTCATAATGAATCAGGCGTTACTGGCGCCCTGCTTGTCGACATACTCTTATTTGAGCTTTAACTAGCAGAGCGTTTCTTCATGGCAACGTTTTCATCACTGGCAAAACTTTGGTCTTAATTGGGGCAACATTGGTCCCCACAACCTCCGTGATATTGAAACTTTTGGAAATAATTAGATCCAGCATATGCCCCTCTGACTTTTGGTATGACATTCATTACGACAGAGGCCGTAGCGACGCGGTGAACAGCTGTTCGTTTTCAAACAGCCTAGAGTCCGAAGACAAAAGAACTTCTCTGCATAGACTTTGTCACCAAACCACAAAATTAGTGGAGCTGGCCTGTGCATGTGGCACATGCAGCGGACACACCAGCAAACACAAATACAGCCCATACCGCTGCTGAACAATTCACCAAATATTCAAACATTGTATTTGTTGTCAGTGTCTAATGCTACTAGGTGCTAACACTGCAGCTCTGCATCCCTTTTTTCTTTGCCATGATAGTGCTTCCGTTTACCTGTAGTTGCTTGAAAATGGTAGATCTTCACCCAGCCAGCTCTGTCACCTCATGAGTGAAATTGGTGTTGGTGAGGAGCCAAAAGGTATTATGTAAGGAGGCAGTTTTCCCAAAATAGTTCATAAAAGATGTACTTTGTTGTTTCATTTCACATTTGATTGATGGGCAGGCACTCCAGTGACACAACTATTTGTATTCAAGCAGTTAAAAATCAGTTTTTCATAATTCATCATCTTGATGGTGAGGAAGACGACAAAGACAATGTTGTGCCCCAAAATAAAGTCCAAAATGGTCACTCTTTTAGGAAAGAAGAAAGATCTTGTGGCCAATGTCAATGTAGCGGTTCACAAACAGTAGCTGTCTTATAGGCAGCTGGCAAAGGTTGAATTTGCTATTGAATTCTTGACCACTATCACCCAGTGGACAGACCAGGGTCAACTACTCTAAGGTCAGACCAGGGTAAACGTCACCTACTCTAAGTCAGCCGGCAGAGCTTATAGCCTCACGGGAAATGCAATGTAGAAAGTGGAGGGACTAATATTTGTTTGAATGTGTCTATTCAATGAATGTCTCTCTATGTTACATTCTAATTTCTGCTTTGCGTATTTGCAATCGTAGCAACATATTCAAAGGATCCCCATTTTAGAACCGAGACACCAAGCGAATAAAAATGTAAATGCAACATGAGTATGCTGAAAGTGTACCTATACAATAATCATGCTGTCCAATCAGCATCCTGATACGTCATATCTGTGAGTTGTCTTGACGACGGAGAACTCCTCAGGAATGCAATTTTAGGCAGATCTGCGTTTGAGAGGAATGCGTACTTTATGCCTTTTGTGTAGTCTTTCTTGATTTTTAAGTTCAGTTGATGTCAAATCGCAGCAAAAACAGAATAGTTGCTTTTCTATTTTTGTTCAGTGATATTCCATATTTCGTAGCTTTTGTTCTGTTCTTTTTGAATGAATATGATGTATGTTTCATGCGCATCCCAACCACCTTGTCTCTCACACTAAGTGAACCACACTACTTCACAAAGCAGAGCTTTGCATTCCTTGTCACACTGACTAAAACTCTCTTTCCTGTTAACAACCAGCCAACAAGGAGCATGTCCGGCGCAACCGGCAAAGTCGCACCTTCTTGGTGGAAAATGTCGTAGGGGAGCTTTGGTCGGAGCTGGAAGAAGGTAGCGCCTCTTTTTTTTTTTTACCTGCCTGTGACTCTTTTCCTTCTCCTTCTGCTTGAGAATAACTCTTGCTGTTTGCTCTGCTGCAGTCTGACCTTGAGTAGACACTGACTGACTTACGATTTGTATTGAATCGTAAAATGGCTTTGACAATTTGTGCAACCACGATGCTCTGAAACATGAACTGTTGTCAATGCAATTACAACTCCTGTCATTTCCGAACAATAAGCCGCTACTTTTTTTCCACACGCTTTGCACCCTGCAGCTTAAACAGTGATTCAGCTAATTTATTTTTACACTCATCAGGCTGCCAATATGTTGACCCCTTAGCCCTCAAATGTGCGCATTCACGAGAACAGAATGGTGTCCCAAATCTCAGAAGGCTTGACCTCACAACAGGAAGCGGCGGCAACGCCAAATTGTAGCCCGCGAGCTAACGAGGTGCTGTCCTATTTGTGTGTTTTACGTCACAACAATGAAAAGAAGAAAAGTCTCATATGTGCGTCGATCATCCGCGATACTTACAGTGCGTGTCTTAGCCGAGAACAATTTAAAAGTACTCTGTGGCGACACCTGACTTCATCTGGGGAAGCCACTCGAATTCAAAACATGACATCGATATAACACATATTTGATTTTATTTACGGTCATTTACTTGTTCCTCCATTCATGGCCCCTCATGATTCTTGGTTAGCAGCAAAAATGATTATACTCAAAACTGTTAGCAAGGCGAAAGAACTTCTCTTTACATCAACAATATGGGTCTGAGCACAGCAACAAATAGCAAGTCATCCCAGTCTATCAAATTACAACATGGATAGTACTTTACTTTTCGATCGTGGACACCAGCAAATCAGGAGATTGCGTAATACATGACGACAGAGGGAAAAAACTTCTTTTGAAGAGCTATTTACACTGTGCGTGCAGGCACAACTCTTGGATCTTTTTTCTCTCCCGGGCTTGACCAATAGATGCGGGATTGAGAAAAGAATTTATAAATATATTTTTAGAATATCAAATAAAATGCTTAGCTGAGGCTTTGCAAATTTCTAACGGGGCTACCCTGGTGTAGCGACATCCCTGCGTGTGAGTTAATTCAAAATTAAAACCAATCTTGACGCAGTTGTGCAAATGTAAAAATAAAGTTTGAAGACATCTGTAACGGAGGTACGGTGGCCGGCTACTTAGCACGTCTTCCTCATGGCGCAGAGGTCGTGGGTTCGTGGGCCCATCCAGTCATTGATTTGATGAATACACTTAATGAAAGTAAGGGACTATCGTAAAGGGATGACAGCGAAGTGTGAAGTTGCATGTCATCTGCAAAAGTATGATGAGATGTTGTGGCGCTCCATAATCTGAGCTAGGTGCAGCATATAGAAGTTAAATAGAAGTGCTCCAAGAATGGAGCCTGGCGGAACCCCGCATGTGATCTTTACTCATTCAAACTCATGACTACCAATTGAGACAAAGTAGTTCCTATCTTTCAAGTAAGATTTGAACCAATTTAACACATTGCCATTAAGTGCAACCCACTGTTTTAGTTTGTTGAGCGGTATGTTATGATCAACTATGTCAAATGCAGCAGTGAGATCTAGCAATACCAAGACGGTGGTTTTGAAAGTGTCATTCAGATGTATGTAATTTAAAACTTTAATAAGTGCAGTCTCAGTGCTGTGGTGCGGTCGAAACTGAGATTGAAATGCATTTAAGAGATTCTCTCACTGTGAATCTCTTTAAAAACAACCGTTTTGATGATTTTTCCCAAAAATCGAAACATTTGAGATGGCCCTGTATTTACTTATCTTTGAAGGATCCAGGTTAGGCTTTTTTAAAAGTGGTTATGTTACTTCACTTTTTTGATACATGCCATGATTGATGAGAATTATTCAATATGACTTATACCTTTGCAGCTATACAATCAAATAATTTATGAAAAATTGTGAACGATGAACATCGAGACCGCATGTTGTCCTAACTTGAAAACTATTTCTTTCAAAGTTGTGTAGCCTAAAACGTTAAAATGTTCAAGATTAACTGGAAAATCAAATAGAGCAAGTGATAATGGAGAGCCATTTACATTTTGTCTTATCTGGAATATTTTTATCTGGCTGCAAAGTTGTTGCATGACTTATTGCACAGCAGTTTCGAAGGGACTGATTCTGTGGGATTTGTCAGTCTGTCTACAACAGAAAACAATGTACGGGCATTTTTAGTGTTTCCATTGATAACCCCTGAGAAGAATTATTGTCTCTTATTTTTCAGTTCGTGGTTGTGGAGATGGGAAGACTGTCATTGCATGTGTCATAATGAATCAGGCGTTACTGGCGCCCTGCTTGTCGACATACTCTTATTTGAGCTTTAACTAGCAGAGCGTTTCTTCATGGCAACGTTTTCATCACTGGCAAAACTTTGGTCTTAATTGGGGCAACATTGGTCCCCACAACCTCCGTGATATTGAAACTTTTGGAAATAATTAGATCCAGCATATGCCCCTCTGACTTTTGGTATGACATTCATTACGACAGAGGCCGTAGCGACGCGGTGAACAGCTGTTCGTTTTCAAACAGCCTAGAGTCCGAAGACAAAAGAACTTCTCTGCATAGACTTTGTCACCAAACCACAAAATTAGTGGAGCTGGCCTGTGCATGTGGCACATGCAGCGGACACACCAGCAAACACAAATACAGCCCATACCGCTGCTGAACAATTCACCAAATATTCAAACATTGTATTTGTTGTCAGTGTCTAATGCTACTAGGTGCTAACACTGCAGCTCTGCATCCCTTTTTTCTTTGCCATGATAGTGCTTCCGTTTACCTGTAGTTGCTTGAAAATGGTAGATCTTCACCCAGCCAGCTCTGTCACCTCATGAGTGAAATTGGTGTTGGTGAGGAGCCAAAAGGTATTATGTAAGGAGGCAGTTTTCCCAAAATAGTTAATAAAAGATGTACTTTGTTGTTTCATTTCACATTTGATTGATGGGCAGGCACTCCAGTGACACAACTATTTGTATTCAAGCAGTTAAAAATCAGTTTTTCATAATTCATCATCTTGATGGTGAGGAAGACGACAAAGACAATGTTGTGCCCCAAAATAAAGTCCAAAATGGTCACTCTTTTAGGAAAGAAGAAAGATCTTGTGGCCAATGTCAATGTAGCGGTTCACAAACAGTAGCTGTCTTATAGGCAGCTGGCAAAGGTTGAATTTGCTATTGAATTCTTGACCACTATCACCCAGTGGACAGACCAGGGTCAACTACTCTAAGGTCAGACCAGGGTAAACGTCACCTACTCTAAGTCAGCCGGCAGAGCTTATAGCCTCACGGGAAATGCAATGTAGAAAGTGGAGGGACTAATATTTGTTTGAATGTGTCTATTCAATGAATGTCTCTCTATGTTACATTCTAATTTCTGCTTTGCGTATTTGCAATCGTAGCAACATATTCAAAGGATCCCCATTTTAGAACCGAGACACCAAGCGAATAAAAATGTAAATGCAACATGAGTATGCTGAAAGTGTACCTATACAATAATCATGCTGTCCAATCAGCATCCTGATACGTCATATCTGTGAGTTGTCTTGACGACGGAGAACTCCTCAGGAATGCAATTTTAGGCAGATCTGCGTTTGAGAGGAATGCGTACTTTATGCCTTTTGTGTAGTCTTTCTTGATTTTTAAGTTCAGTTGATGTCAAATCGCAGCAAAAACAGAATAGTTGCTTTTCTATTTTTGTTCAGTGATATTCCATATTTCGTAGCTTTTGTTCTGTTCTTTTTGAATGAATATGATGTATGTTTCATGCGCATCCCAACCACCTTGTCTCTCACACTAAGTGAACCACACTACTTCACAAAGCAGAGCTTTGCATTCCTTGTCACACTGACTAAAACTCTCTTTCCTGTTAACAACCAGCCAACAAGGAGCATGTCCGGCGCAACCGGCAAAGTCGCACCTTCTTGGTGGAAAATGTCGTAGGGGAGCTTTGGTCGGAGCTGGAAGAAGGTAGCGTCTCTTTTTTTTTTTTTTTACCTGCCTGTGACTCTTTTCCTTCTCCTTCTGCTTGAGAATAACTCTTGCTGTTTGCTCTGCTGCAGTCTGACCTTGAGTAGACACTGACTGACTTACGATTTGTATTGAATCGTAAAATGGCTTTGACAATTTGTGCAACCACGATGCTCTGAAACATGAACTGTTGTCAATGCAATTACAACTCCTGTCATTTCCGAACAATAAGCCGCTACTTTTTTTCCACACGCTTTGCACCCTGCAGCTTAAACAGTGATTCAGCTAATTTATTTTTACACTCATCAGGCTGCCAATATGTTGACCCCTTAGCCCTCAAATGTGCGCATTCACGAGAACAGAATGGTGTCCCAAATCTCAGAAGGCTTGACCTCACAACAGGAAGCGGCGGCAACGCCAAATTGTAGCCCGCGAGCTAACGAGGTGCTGTCCTATTTGTGTGTTTTACGTCACAACAATGAAAAGAAGAAAAGTCTCATATGTGCGTCGATCATCCGCGATACTTACAGTGCGTGTCTTAGCCGAGAACAATTTAAAATGACTCTGTGGCGACACCTGACTTCATCTGGGGAAGCCACTCGAATTCAAAACATGACATCGATATAACACATATTTGATTTTATTTACGGTCATTTACTTGTTCCTCCATTCATGGCCCCTCATGATTCTTGGTTAGCAGCAAAAATGATTATACTCAAAACTGTTAGCAAGGCGAAAGAACTTCTCTTTACATCAACAATATGGGTCTGAGCACAGCAACAAATAGCAAGTCATCCCAGTCTATCAAATTACAACATGGATAGTACTTTACTTTTCGATCGTGGACACCAGCAAATCAGGAGATTGCGTAATACATGACGACAGAGGGAAAAAACTTCTTTTGAAGAGCTATTTACACTGTGCGTGCAGGCACAACTCTTGGATCTTTTTTCTCTCCCGGGCTTGACCAATAGATGCGGGATTGAGAAAAGAATTTATAAATATATTTTTAGAATATCAAATAAAATGCTTAGCTGAGGCTTTGCAAATTTCTAACGGGGCTACCCTGGTGTAGCGACATCCCTGCGTGTGAGTTAATTCAAAATTAAAACCAATCTTTCTGTGTCAATATCCCGTTTAACATTGTTAAGACCTGCAGCTCATAGTCCGCTGCATTTTTCTTTGATGGATTTAGGAGGTACAGTGAATTAACAGGTCCACTCAATCGTTCAGAATTACAGTGCAGTGGACCCCTGCATACTCACAGATTTTTTTCCAATAATTTGAAATGGTTTGTTCCATTTCGGAAAAAACATTTTTCCAAAATGTTTGTTGGAAAAAAGGGAGGGTGCTTCCCTCCCAGTTCAACCCCTCTGTTTTTGGGGAAATGTTTGTCCACATTTAAAAAAAAAAAAAATTGGGGGATTTCTTTTATTTGTTTTATCTTTGTCCCAATGTCTTTCAGTGGCCATTAATTATATGCGGATTTTTGTTATTCACAGGCCAGGGTCCTTCTCCCCCGCGAATAGGGTCCACTGTACGACAAAAGAACTAGACAAAGTCACTGTTACAGCAATTATTTGAGAATAGAATCAAAACCCTATGTAGGATACAACATACATGCATGTCGATGAAGCAATTTACATAAAAAGGCTGCTTTACAATAATCCGTTTTGTCTATTGTTGATCAGGGTTTATTTAGCTTTCCCAACTGTGTCAGCTGAAATTACCTGTTCTCTCTACCTGATCTCTCCAAAACACTATTATGACCCCTTTTATGCAGGTGACCGATATGTGGTGGTGGACTGTGGCGGGGGGACAGTGGACCTGACTGTCCATCAAATCCGTCTCCCAGAAGGACATCTGAAAGAGCTGTACAAAGCTTCTGGTAACATTTTGCTATTTTTTAATATAAATTCTCCTCTACGTTTTTCTTCTGGCATTTCAATCAGCTCACTCATTTTCCTACTTTAGGTGGACCATACGGCTCTCTTGGAATTGACTATGAATTTGAAAAGCTGCTGTGTCAGATTTTTGGCCAGGATTTCATTGACCAGTTCAAAATTAAGCGGCCAGCTGCTTGGGTGGACCTCATGATTGCCTTTGAATCACGGAAGCGGGCAGCAGCACCAGGCAGGGCAAACCCCCTCAATATTAACTTGCCATTCTCATTCATCGACTACTACAAGAAGTTCCGGGGCCACAGTGTTGAACATGCTCTGCGTAAAAGCAAGTAAGTGCGCCAAGAACAGTGTCCCCCAACCTTTGAGCCACTTTGAAACACTGAAATAATGTTCTTGTCTCAATTTACTTACAAATATACTTGGTGTGAAATATGGACTTGTATAGTATGTAAAACTGAGCTATTCTGACATATGAATTGCAAGAAGTGAATAAACGGGTGAATTGTACCTTGTGCAATCTAGTGGAAGAACATGTGACCGTTTCAGTTCTATAAATGAAAATGGACACAGGGATTGGGAATCACTGCCGAGAGGAGGATAGAGCCTGTCCTGTGCCACGTTTTTCATGAACATCGAAGTAAATGTGCAGGCAGCAGATCCGAAACATTTGATCTGTGAAAAAAAATTGTCAGTGCGAACTCAGCCCGTTAGTAGTGCCTGAGTGAATTTGCTGCATCTAAATTTGGCACTAAATAGATATACCTGTATATCATATCATATTTGTTTATTTCCTCGTGTTTCTAACCTTGGGAGTTTGTAACACCAGTGGCATAGGAGTGCAGACGTTAGCAAATATGTTTATAATTTTTAATGTCACATTGCGATAGGCTCCAGCATGCCCTGCGACCCTTGTGAGGATAAAGCGGATCAGAAAATGGATGGATGGATGGACAATGGGAGTTGTTGTCATGGAGTGCAGGCAAGGCAGAGTGCAGGGGTAATGTCATAAAAGGTTAATTTTCAAAATCAAAAGCAGGGGTACTTAACAGGATAAAAAAAAAAAAAACAATCATAATTCAGGTCAAGAAATGTAGAAATACCCCCCCGCCCAAAAAAAAAACAAACCCACCGTAACAGACATATGGCATGATACAACAACAACAACAAAAAAACAATGATCGACGACAAAAGGTATGGAGAAAAACAACTACACGCAGACTGACAAGGCACAACTGGACTAGACGTGAGTGGATGTTGAGACCTGATTGGCTGACATGAAGGGAGCAAAATTGAAGAGACTTGGTGAAGACAAAGACAACGCGAGCAGATGCAAGGAAACAAACAAAAAAAAAACAAAGCACAATCCAAAAGATGAACAAAAATGGATCATGATTCCTAACATTTAACTCTTTGTTGTCACAAGAGCAACTTATTAAATGTTCTTTCTATGCGTTATTTTTCAGCAGATGACGAGAGAATGAAAGAAGGCAGGATGCCGATAAAGAATCCACAGCCTCACAGAACATAACTAGCACAACAAATATTCAGAATCAGAATCGCCTTTATTGTCATTGTATTACATACAACGAAATTTGGGTGCCACTCCTTTAGTGCATTTAGTAAGAAAATAAAATAACGGGTTAATAAATACAAAATTAAAATAAAAAAAAATATTCATACTGTATTTCAATTATAAAGATGTAAAACATTACTTATGATGACAAGCAAACAATCAAAAGAAAATTAATACATTTTAAAAATGTTCCTGGGAGTCTGTCATCTGGACTGTAAATTGGAAATTGTAGAATAAGGCAAGAGGGGCTGACAAAGTAACTGTTGAGAGCTGAAAAGAATAACTAATTTTCATCAACGCTACGGCACGTTTTAGCACAATGATCCATTTGATTTTTCTTTCTCTATCTAAAGCCAAGTTTCAATTTGCACATTGTAACGTATTTCTGCACTACAAGGTGCTTTTGGATTCTAACGCGCCCCTTCAATGAACGGCCTATTTTTTTTTCATATATTGGGCATACTGTATTATAAGGTGCATTGAATAGAAGCTACAATAGTGGCTGCGGTTGCACTATGCATCCACTAGATGGAGTTACAATACAGCTTTATTTAGAGCAGGGATGCCCAAACTATTTGGACCGAAGATCGACTTTTCGATCAACCAACCTCCCGCAATCGACCCGTTACCGCACACGCACATACACACGCACGCCATGATGAGCAACAGCCTGACACGGAGGCATGCGACACACTTTTGCAGCCTGTTAACTATCATAGCAAACACGTACCGTTTTAAAGTGCTTCCCTCGGCCCTCTAGATTCCTATCCTTTGCCCGTGCCCTCGGTGAATTGTACACGAAACAAACTCTGAATGAGAATAATGACAACGATAACGATAAAAGATATAGCGCAACAGCTCTGATCACAAGCTGCAATTGCAGACTGTTGAGTGCTAACAACTTCCGGTGACGCACGTCACTCGCCACCGTAGGTTAAAGATTTACCTGCTTTATTTTATTTTATTTTATTTGTTTAATACTTTTTGTGAAAATCAGACTGATAGGATGATTAGGGTGCAGTGTACATTAACGCAAAAAAAATATTAATAACATGCACAAAGACACAAATGGTTCTTTGTTTTATTTCTCCTCTACACCCCTCGCGATCGACTTGGGATCAGTCCGCGATCTACCGGTCGATCGCGATCAACATTATGGCCACCCCTGATATAGAGCGTTCACAACTGCTGCAGCTTTAACAAAGCCATGAGAACTGGTCACAAACACGGACATGAAACATAAATACAAATGGCGTTACAAAACAATAAATGAAAGAGAAAAGTTTTGTGGGCTCACATACAGAAGGGGCTAAATATCCTTCGAAGTCTTGCTTGTGTCCTTCTTCCTCGTGTCATAATGGCTGCGCAGAGCTCACAAAGTAGTTATCTGTTTGTTTGAGTGTGTGTTGGTGAATGCACATGTCAATTAGTGCCGGGCAAAACCCTTTTAGGTTACAATTGGTTCCTGCCAATAATCACCATTAGATGGAATAGTAACACTAACAGGGAAACAACTCAATGGGGAATATCAAGAGACTAACTTCATATATTAGTCGCATCGGATTATAGGGCGCACTGTCGGCTTTTGGAAAAATTGAATGCTTTTAGGTGCGCTATGGTGCGGAAAATACGGTCCTTGGATATTCATTGTTTCTCAATGTTTATTTGTGCATCAGCATAAGTACATATTTATTCAGTCTAAAGTCAGGCCAAAACAACAGATAAAAAGCTTCTCACTTTAAATGATAAGCTAAAGCACAAACTTTTTCTTTTCATTTTCTTTTCTTTTGTCTTTTTTTTTATAGACATGATACAGTATTTATAAAGACAGATTTCCCCTTGCAGTAATGAGTAGAGGAAGCCACTCACTGTGCAGAACTGAACTGCCTTGTCTCCTATCTCGATATTTTCGGAATCCCCTCATGCAAGTCATTCAAAGAACTTCCGAAGGCTGAAACAAGAGCCTTGAATGGTTCTCCGGTGGAAGAGTGAAGCATGTCCTTTGTCTCCTGCCCACACTCTCTCACATGACCATAATGCACATAATATCACACACAGGGGATTATAGTTCTAATTGTTTCGATTGTTTCAAGAGCTACGATTTAACAGACACACTGAATTAGAAAAGATCGATATTGATCTGCACTTGTAGGATAGCACACACAGAGGCGCCCACGTTGTCTCTATTCACATCACCTGGACACATGAGTACTTGTACATGCATGCATTTTGCCAGACACAAGCATAAATAAAGTTGCAGTGAGTCAATACAGTACATGCTACAATGACATGTCTGTCCTGAGATGGGTAAAATACTGTTTTGAGATACTCTTTTATCTGGACCACCAAGTATTTATATTATCAAGTCTTATGTACTGTATTTTCCGCACTATACAGTGCTTCAGCGTATAAGGTGCACATTCAATGATTGGCCTATTTTAAAACTGTTTTAATATATAGGGTGCACCGCAGTATAAGGCGCATAGAATAGGAGCTACAATAGTGGCTGAGGTTGCGTTATGCAGCCAATAGGTGGAGGTACACTAAAAGGAATACAATACAATACAGCTTTATTCATATAGCACGTTCACAACGCTGCAGCTGTAAGAAAGCACTTTACAGAACATTTAAAATACTATGTCCAAGAAATCAGATTATTGATCCATATATAAGGCACATCAGATTATACTTTTACGTGCGCCTTAGTTTGGAAAATATGGTAATATTTCTTGCATTGATTGAGCCCTCCCCCCCCCCCACCTCAAATTGGTTAAAACTGTTTTTTGTTTGTTTGTTTTATGTTATTAAAAATAACTAGTTAAAATATTGAAATAAATCAGACATGAAAGCTTTTTTTTGTTTAACTTTTATTCAACATTTGCTAAATTAATTTTCCTCAAATTAGTTTTCTATTCAAGAAAACATCATTCGTAAGATTTTCTATTAATGACACATTCTCTCCCGTGGACCTCCAAATGGGTTATTTTTCTTTCAATGTGAAAATGTTTTTGCAACTTTTTCTTCATAACACATCAGTGAATCAAAGGCTAGCTGGGTGAATAATGTTGCTTGGAATAATTCCAAAATAACCAGTGCCTCTTTTAGACTTTTTTTTTCCTGCTCATCATTACAGTAAATAAGCAATTCGAGTAAAGGCACATTTTAGTCGTATGATGCAGATCACTTCAGCACGATTGCAAACTGCAGCAACAATAAGAAACATCTATTTCACAATTACCTTTCCGATAGTGTCAAACTGAGCACGTCCATAAGCAGTAACTCTCGCATTGAACCAAATTACACTGTGCTAGACTGAGTACCTCACGTTAGAGCTCAGTCTCTTGTGATTTCCACTGAGAATATATTAAGGTCATAAAAATGAAGTCAATGTTTCTCCACTAGTTCGAACAAGAACACTCGTTTGTCATTATTTGGACCGTTCTCTTTGATGTAATCTTGCCTGATACTATTGATCATGCAATGATAATGTTTTCATAGGCATTGTTTCATGATATTGACCACTTTTCTCTCCAGTGTGGATTTTGTGAAATGGTCATCGCAGGGGATGCTGAGGATGAGTCCCGATGCTATGAATTCCCTTTTCAAGCCCACCATCGACCATATCATTCAACACCTCAGTAAGCTACAATTGAAACACACGCATGAAATAAATCTGTTCGTGGGGTTGATCGTTTGACGTTTGTGTTTTCCGATGTATTAGTTTGATGTTTGTTACAAGCTTCTGTTAATAATAGGTGAAAAAAGCCTAAGACCAGTGGAGTAACGGTTGGTTTTCGTAATTAACAGAATTCATATTGCAATTTGGGAGGGGGAAAAAAACTGACTAATTCCTGTCATTTTATGGACTTTTTTTCTCGTACATTTTATTTATTTATCGTGTCTCATGAAGTTCAGTGCTGACGAAGTGCCGTCCGAATTTTTACATATCTGTGTCATGAAACGTGAGAAGTGGATAAAGTCATAGATTTGTTTGCTTTCTTGTTTAACCATGATCTGATTCCCGATTTACCAATTTGTGTTGACGCCACACTTGTTTGCTAGAATTTTGCCATTGTCATAGTGAGCCCAGAAAAGACGGCAAGTCAAATTGGTTAATAAATTTCAGCGGATGAATAAATTTTTGATCTTGCACTTGTGTGACCAGTAAATCTACCGATTAAAAAAAGTGAGTGTGTGTGTGTGTGTGTGTGTGTGTGTGTCGGTAGATTTACTGGTCACACAAGTGCAAGATCAAAAATGTATTCATCCGTCTGGTCATACATAAACACACACACACACACACACACGCACACACACACACACACACACACACACAAAAGATTGACCAAAAAATAAACAAATACATATGAAGAGGACCTGGAAAAAATAATCACAGACTAAATTGCAATGGCAACATCTGGTAATGAAACTATTTTTCAAAATTGTTCAGCCTGACTAGTAGCAGCAGCAGTAGTAGAGTAGTAGTAGTAGTATAGAAGGAATCGATAAATCCATATCTTGGCTGTCCAGATGTAATTATTTTGTCAATATAATGATGAATTGACATCACAATGAAGCAAAAACAATTTACCAGCTCAACACAGACATCAGGGGACATGCTGCTTCAGCGAGACACGTATACACAGTACCGTTGCCTCAACACTCCATTGAGTCGGGGCGTTCAACTCAATCGCACAAAACTCGGCCGAAACTCAAAGCAAGCAAAAGGAGAAATATTTTAAAAAACTTTTTTTTTTTTTTTGCGAATTAGAAACTTTCATTCAAAACAGACAATGTACAATAGTACTACAAAATAAATCCACTTAAAATAACGTTTAACTCTGCAAAAAACATCTAAAAAATAAATGTTACATGCTTTAAAAGAAAAGTGCACAGTAAATAGAAAGAAAAATGGTACTATTACGTCAAAGTTTCAATTTTAAGTTTCTTTACACTTTTGCTGTTTCATCAAAGTCGGTTGAATTCTCGGCTTTGTTCAAGACTTAACTCCGTATCTCGACATTTCTTAAACTTCCAGTTCCAGTTACGGGCCCCTCTGTGATGATCAGCGATGTGGATGATGCCGTGAAGGCATTTCAAGTGAAGCAGCGCATACGACAGACACAAATGCACTCGTTCAAATTGTCTCGCTTTCCTCTTTGCCAAGAAATGTTGAGCCAAGTCAGCGCCGCCGCCTTCCAAAATTGACACTTTGCGGAGAAACTGAGCGCGCTTTCTTTCGACTGAATTCACCCGGTGCTTCAGTGACTTTGAAGCACAGAAAGTCATTTCAAGCCGCTTGATTCTCTTTTTCTGTCAGTATGGCAACTGCAACTTTTGCAGATTCAGATGGAGCTGCAATGCAATGGACACGAAAGGCAAAGGAAAAACCGTTGGGCCCCAAACAGTTCATTCATTTAATTCCTGAATCGATGTCCTCGCTCCATCTACATGTGGCACAAACCCTCAATAATCCCTCAACATTGAATGAATTTGAGAAAGAGGCTGTGTTATAAAATTGCTTTGAATGCCTTGAAAGACTTGAAAATGTAGCACAAAAATGAAAGCGATTCAAATCTTGGTTCTCCCCCCCCCCCCCCCCCCCCCCCCCCCCCCTACAAAAAATGTCATGAAATCTGTTTTTTGTTTAACCTCAAAGCAACTGACGGAATGTAAACATTGTTTGCGGATGGGTAAAAAGAATAATTTTTCACTTTCACAACAAACACAGCTTGTCGTTAATTTCCTGCCTCATGATAGCCATGCAAAGCTAACAAGTCCCTAAACTTTAAAGATGTAATTATGACCTGGCTGATATGGATTTTCTGAAGCCAATGGTGATTATATTTGTCAGAATAATATTCCGATTGATTAATCGGCTGATTAATGTAAGAAAATCTAAAATGAATAAAATAACTTTATTTTAGGTCCCTTAAAACTTGTACACACAATACCGTATTGGCCCAAATATAAGATGGTGTTTTTTGCATTGAAATAAGACTGAAAAAGTGGGGGTCGTCTTATATTCGGGGTCTAGACATTGTACCCATTGACGACGCTAGATGGCGCCAGATATCATTAAAGCGAATGCTGAACTTGACTCCCCAGGCCAAAGTGAACCCCTGCCACGAAGAAGAAAAATAAAAATAGCGGTAGCACGAAGAAGAAAAATAAAAAAAAGCGGTAAGAAAGAGAAGAGAAGAAAGTAATAGAAGAGACAACAGAAAATGGAGAAACGTAGTGACAATCTGCAGAAAAGTGGGTCAAAGATCGGCCAGGTTAACCGGCAGCTGAGAAGTTATGATGTAATTTACATTTCAAACACCAGAAGCCATTCATTTACAAATGTGATTGCACTTTAGATTTGAATGAGGCAAACTAACATGCTTTTTCTCTCAAATATATTGTTATAATCATTTGTTTCAGATGTACTGTTATTATTTTCTGTATAAAAATTAATTTGGTGTTCAAAAAGTCTTTTTTCAAACTTGAGTCTTGAAAAAGAGGGGGTCGTCTTATAATCAGGGCCGTCTTATATTCGGGCCAATATGGTATTAATTTCAGTCAGAACATTTGACTGTTTTGCATGTCATTTAGTATTTGTTTAACTTGAGAAAAAAACTGCCAATTATCGTTTTGTTCTCATCCAGATGGATTTTTCCTGCATGTCACGCAGGGATGTGAGCTGCATTTATTCATGATAATCAACGTGTTTGATTTTGTGTTCCCCTGCAGATGAGCTCTTTGAGAAACCTGAGGTGAGTGACATCAAGTTCCTTTTCCTAGTCGGAGGTTTCGCCGAATCAGCTTTGTTACAGCAGGCCGTTCAGAACATGCTAGAGGGCCGCAGTCGCATCATTATCCCCCACGATGTCGGCCTCACGATCCTGAAGGGCGCAGTTTTGTTCGGTTTGGACCCCAGCATCATCAAAGTCCGCCGCTCGCCGCTTACGTACGGCGTCGGTGTCCTCAATCGCTTTGTAGAGGGCAAGCATCCTCCCGAGAAGCTGCTGGTGAAGGACGGAACGCGCTGGTGCACCGACGTCTTTGACACGTTCATCGCCGCCGACCAGTCGGTTGCGCTCGGCGAGATGGTCAAGCGTAGCTACACGCCGGCCAAGCCCTCGCAGCAGGTCATCGTCATCCACGTCTACTGCACCGAGAAGGAAAGTGTGGGCTTCATCAGCGAGTCAGGCGTCAAGAAGTGCGGCTCCCTTCGCTTGGATGTCAGTGGCACGGAAAGCGCGGCGCCGCGCCGCGAGATCCAGACGCTCATGCAATTTGGTGACACCGAGATTCGGGCGATGGCGGTAGACGTGTCCACCGGCCGCACGGTCAAGGCCAGTATTGACTTCCTCAGCCATTGAGGTAGGAGGCAGAGAGCTCGTTGGAAATGGCACAGCTCACCTGCACACACCCACGAGTAGGATATTTCAAATGTTCACAATTGAGGATTTTTGGGGTATTGTACGATTAAATCAGTCCAATCACTTCAACCATTATTATCCAGCGGTGGCGTTATAACGGCCCACTAAAATGTACTGTTAATGCTTGTTCTCTTATTAGCTGAACGATATCCTGACACACTGTCTCAAAGACAAAAAAAAGCAAACTCGGTGTGGATTAATTGCATTGAAAATAATGCCGATGCTCTGAATGTACCTCTGGTACATGTGCTCTGCAAAATAGCTTTATGTGAAAGAAGCAGAAAAGAGGAACTTATAAGTAAGGCTTGGTGTCAAGTATACATCTTGTTAGTTCTCTTCTGAATTACACATTTAGGTTTAGTTGATACTGGATTTGGATTAGAGTCTTGATTGCGTATGAAGGGTCCGTCCGTTCAACTCTCACCAAATGTAGTTGACAGTCAGCACCTGCCATCAGGCATCACTTCAGCCACCCTCATTATTTGTTGAACACGCCAAATGCAGGGTTGGAGGAACTGGCGTAGAATCCAACTGCGCCCCGTCTGCATGAAATGGCAAAGAAACCCAAAGTATTATGACACTCGTGCTTTTAACTGCCAGCCCCCGCCCTCAAAAACCGTGAAAGTGTTCCACAATGAAGAGTTAATTGAGACATGGAAAATAGCCTTAACGGGTCAAGTGTGAAATAAACTTGGCCAAGCATCTATTGAGTAATACTTGCGTGAGTTTTTTTTAATGCCATCCACCCAGGTTCATGGTTAGACCCACAGCAAATGCTTTTGTTCGGTAATCTCCGGCAAGTGATGTCATTCACAGACTACCGAGTCGCCTGTCAGCCATTGTACTGCATCGTTGATTGTCCCATTAACTGCTCTTTGCCATTGTTATCGAGTTATTCTGTGAAATGCATAGTTCACATTCAAGCAAACAGTTGTTTGAGTAGCCAAAAGAAAAGACTAAGACATGTAAATGGACCAGAAAATTGGAACTATATAGTGTAGTTTTCGCAAAGCGAATACATTTCACTCCGGTGTGGACAAGCATTCTTTGTTACAAGCACTTAAGACCTGTTTTGTCAACCGGATTTGCAAAAAAGGTAGGTGTGCTAATCAATTAATAAATGTCCATTGTTAATGAAAACATTTGATTCAAAATATTTTACTCATACATGAATGGAATCATGTACGAAAGCATCCAAACTTTGTCAGTGCATGGATGGAATCCTTGGTCATGATTTGCAACTAACAATGCTTGCCGGCATAATGTGCGGAGAGGCCAATAACGCAACAGAACTACCTTAGCAATGACAATGCAGGACACGCACCCACTATGACGTGTGCTCTCAGTGCTAGTAGGAATGCATGGAACAAGTATGTAATACCATCATGCGCACTTTACAGCAAGGCACAGCATCGAATTGCAGAAAATAACGCTAGGCTAACACCTGCAGCCGACATAGCTTACTGTTCTTCCAATCCCGATGGGTTCCGTCTCCAGTCTGCGTTCCTGAGCATCTGGCTCGTACGTGTGTGGTCCAACATACATCTTGCCAATAACCTCCTCTTTCTCCAACTCTTCAAACACCTGGATTCCCTCAGATAGGCTTGAAAGGGACAAAGACTGCAGCCATCAGGTACACAGATGTACTCATGTGATCACTGGCTATGTTGGATGCCTACATCCGCTCATTGAATCTGTGAAGCAACATTGCATCTTGGGTTTAAAAACTACCGTATTTTCTGCACTAAAAGGCGCACCTAAAAGCCCATTTTCTTAAAAGCTCACAGCGCGCCTTAAAATCCGATGCGCCTTGTGTATGGTCATTACGGTAATATTTCGACCCCAAATTGGCTCCTTGCTCGAGACATGCTGACAACGCAGAGTTCAAACTTAAGGCGATTGGTTACGCAGTTGAACACGGAAATAGAGCAGCGGCAAGAGAGTTCAACGTTAACGAGTCAATGTTATAACTTGCTGTTGGTTAAGTGAACTGTGTCGCTGATTTATGAAATAAGTTTTACTGACATCTGATGGTCGCTATGTAAATCAGAGTGTAGTGTAGTGTAGTGTAGTGTTCTGTTGGCATTTCTTTGAGCATAGCTCCATCTATTGGAAGCATTGTAGATTGCGTCTTATAATGCGGTGCGTCCAATCTATGAAAACGATTACAAAATAGTCCATTCATTGAAGGTGTGCCTCATAATCCAGTGTGCCTTTTAGTGTGGAAAATACGGTAGTGGTATATCGCGTTTTGTTCTTTTGGCCGGGGTTTCGAAAATCATGCAAAAGCATCAGGCTCGTCCTTGACTATAGGTAATGAGTCGAAGGAATGTCAAACATGCTGCAAGGAAATACCACCGTCAGATCCTATTTAGTGTTGCCTTGGTTTGTTAATGCTTCCACTTATTAGATGAAATGTTGCTTGCCCACTTGGATGTGCACAGCCTTTGTGTGACAAACAGTAATATTTGTTTATTTCTGTAGATACAGTATTGAAATATTGTACAGATTTTTAGCATTGAATCGATAGCCTTAGCCGCAGTCGTTTAATGCGCGTGCTTTCACTTTTCATAGTCAGCACGTCATCCAGCACAGCACGAGAGACAGCGTGGCACATTTTTGCCGGACAAACAGGTCATTCATTTGTTACCCTTCCATTCTGTTTCGCGTGTCACACCACTCTGCCAGCTTGCATGTTGTCAGTGTCCTACCTCTTCTAAATGGTTTGGGGCCATCATTAATGTGTGCTGTCTGAGAAATTAAATGTTCAGTACTACAATAGATGCGAAGTGGACTAATTGCTCTGTACTGTCCATTCAAATTAAGCTATAGGTTATGGTGATTGGCTATGAGACATTGAAATCTCGGTGCCCTTGTTATCGTTGTTTCGTGTTGGAAGAATTCTGTGGGAATCCATTCTTAAATTTCAAATACAATCAGCAAAAAATATCCAGTCACACGTCATGATGTTTGAGAAAATAATTCACATCGGAGACCTTAGATTTAAGGAAATAGATAGAAAGATATCTCTTTTTACCACTGTGTGAAGATAAGATAAACTTTTAGTGATCCACAGAAGTGAAATTCGGGACATTACCAGGAGTAACAGTTTCTTGTAATCGATTCTAAGGAGGCCTTAGCTAGTCATGTTAGCACCTTAACTAGTTCCACCCAAATGGTGCATTCCATTTTGCTTCAAGTGCATCATGATGCAATTATTCAACAATGATTTCCACACCGACAGAATTCCAAATTCTAAACTCATCCATTTATACGTCCATTCCCAATATCTTAACAGTCAGTCAATAAATGACTGGTTAAATGTTTAGTGTTCCAAACACTGATACTGCAGTTCTTAACATCTCATCATTTTACATTTGTCAAAATGTCAGAAGTTTGATTTTAAAGAAAATTTATGCTTTTGCAGTGTTTGGCACACAAATTTGAAAGTCTTCTAGACGGCTTGCGGCTGACTGGAAACTGTCAGCAAGCGTGGCTGCAGTTTGCTTCTGCAATTGCATTACTACTTAGCTGACACAAAATGCTGGATGTTGTACGGTAACACTATTGTTGCCTCCATTTTTAACCCGGGAATATGTGCCTTGAAAAGTTGACATTTGCGGTTTATCTGAAATGAGGTTCTTTTGTTTGTTTGTTTGTTTTTTGATGGGGGGTGGGGAGGGGGCGTTTTAAAATATAATACACAGGTAAGGTGTCAGTCTGTCAGTAGTAGTGTTGTACTTGATAAAACGGAATTTAACTATTTCTGTTGTAATTTGTTGCTTAACTTAACACTGAATACGACTATATGTCAACATTTTATTTTACTTCAGCCTCACTTGGGTTCTTAAAATTTGTTTCCAAAGGGACGAAAGAATCTTTCAGAATTGTCTTAATATGTTTAAAAGTGTTGTTCTGAACAGAATAACACTGATTCTTTACTTTGCCTCAGTTTCTTCAAGACACCATGTACAAAGAATTCTGGCAAACTGGCCAAATTCTTAAAGCTTGATTAATTGCTTATTGTGTCTGTCACCGTTTACAATTATGCACATCCAGTGTGCTGTCTAGACGTTTAGTGTGTAGACAAGTCAAGTGTACAATTTTCTTTCTGTTTTACATGAAAGTCTTGGGCCAGTATAATCATGATGGACAACAATTACTGTAGTACACAATACAACGCAATCTATGAATAATGTGCCAGCATGAAAGTCATTTCACGAATCAACTCACGACCAATGGTCCTGTTTTAATACATGGCTGTTTTCATAAATGCACATATTTTATGTCATATTTAGTTTGAATTACTTTGTATATTATTATATAATATAGTAACCAGTGGTCCCCAACCTTTTTTTGTGTCACGGACTGGTTAATACCAGACCGGCAACCTTTTTTTTTCATTGCTTTTAAATTGCCAATTTTAAAGCACTGGTATTGACAACGATAATCACAGAGTAATTCAACATTTTATTCACGTTCATTCATTTCAAACGGTGTTATTCTACTGCACAACAAATGTAAAATAAAACAACACAGTGAACTACGAAGAAATGGTCCAATTAGGAAACATAAATATGCCCTATAATGTAAACAATCATTTAGAAGCTCCGATCTGACCTACGGCGTTAGCATCATCGCTACTTGCAAAGGATGACAGGGCTCATTGCTGCGTTATTAGTGATTAAACTGCTTATGGTTACGTGGGCAAGCAAACTCTTCTTTACATTTTCATGTTTTCCATTTGATCACTTGGTTACTACTTGTTCAGACGCTTCAACGGGTTTGGCAGTACAAGAAATGCCTTGTTTTTGTCGACATAGCACGCACAACAGCTTCCTGCCAGGGGTGGAACTTCTCTTGTCAAAATAGCTTCATCTTCGGAAGTCACGGCAGCCGATCAGCTGCACGTTTCGATGTACGTTTCATCAATTTGTAACTATTACTTTCTCTGTTGTGCTTCTGATTTCATTTACTGGCTTTTATTCGGTTTATTTCAACTTTCATAACCAGTGTTTCGAAGGAGGACTCCTATTGGCCTGAGTCGCGCACATTAAGCCACATCTGACGACGCAAATTTGCTCACGGCTCTCAGGTTTTGCCCGGTCCCAAACGGACTGAGGTTGGGGACCACTGGTATAGACTTTAATTCAAGGTCTTCAAGGGATGTAGAGCACAGA